CTCGCCACTCCACTTTACGGACGTAATGTGTATCTTTGTACCGACTGTCCTACACTCAGGCCACGTTTTGTACTAATTTTTCTCATGACATAGTCGAGTAGATAGGCGTTTAAAAAGAATTTGTACGAGAGTTGAGAATTGAATTGAAATTCAGGAACTTGGAGTTTAGAATTTGAAAGCGACCGGCGATAATGACATGCGAGACACGAACGGATATTGTTACACGCAAATTTTCCATTAAAGCCGACTGGCCGAGCGGTTTGGCGCGGCTAAAGTTTGTAGGCGACGAAAACAACGTTTGGTAAACATAGCCGATAAAATAGCTTACAATAATATTCGTTTAAATTAATAATAATAATAATCATAATTGTAATAACAATAATCGTAATTAATTAATTAATTAATTAATTGAGAGGAAAAAAAAAAAAAGGAAAAGTTTCCTCGTGAAAACGTTATCATCTTAATAGATGGGATATCCACGTTAACTTGATAACTCATTTTCATTTGTAAGCTTTAAAAATGAGCTTTTAGATTTGAGCTTCCAGCATATAATAATTCCAATTGTCTATTGATTTTTACGGTCAGTCAGTCCTTTTGTCAGTTTTGAATATCGCACTGACAGCCATCCCCTCTACCTATTCCATATTTATGACCGATAGACTTTTCGTAAGCATAAATAAAAGGGGAAAGGAGGCGGAGAATCAGGCGGAATTGGGGGGGGGGGCGTAAGAATATTCAGAACAATTGAGTTTTCTATCTCATTGGTAATTGTGAGGTACTCGTATTTAGCTAGTATGCGAGGATTTTGTTGCATTCTATGGTGAGGAAAAGACAAAGTTACATTATATGAGTTACCAAATGAATGTTAGAACTTCTGTAGTTGATACAAATCATTAAATATTGAATTTATCTTTAGACAAAAGAAACAAAAGAGATCTTATATTCAACACAACGACAACAACAATTATAAACGCAAATGTTTCGTTGTGAAAATGCAAACTATTCCATATGAATCATTAAAGTACGATATAGCTTACTTTTAACCATTGTAATTATTGTTGTTGTTGTTGTTGTTGTTGTTGTTTTTGTTGTTGTTGTTGTTGTTATTATTATTATTATTATTATTATTATTATTATTATTATTATTATTATTACACGATCTTATATATATATATATGATATCATTATATCATTATCTAATAGTAGTTGTAAATAATTGTTGTGATCTGTAGTTGTGATAACGGAGAATAATAATAACAATAATAATAATGGTAATAATAATAATACTTAATAATGAATAATGCTTTTTAAGATTTCATATCCATTTTGGGAAAGTAAATACTCACCCTTGGTAATTATGATGCTAAGCCTATGGGTCAATTATATAGTGTAAACAAATATCTGGTATTCCATTTGGAAAGTGAGGAAGTTATCTCTCGTGCTCGTAGAATTATTATTATTATTATTATTATTATTATTATTGTTATCGTTATTATTATTATTATCATTTGTACTATTTTAGGTGGATTGATAAAAAGAAGTCTATTTAAGTAATCGATCTGATATGGAGGAAGTTCTTTCGGTTAATTATGGTTGTACTTTTTTTGTAATTTCATCAGCTGTCATAAAAATTACAGGAAATAAAAAAAAACAACGATTTTTATATCAGGCCATTTTAACGAAAATCATTTAATTATTAACTAATTATTATCCTTTTCCGTCTACATACGTTTATCAATGAATTGCTTATTCGTTTGTTAATGTTGCAAAACTTGTGTCATTGCAATGACACGATTACGATTACATTAGCATTAACTCGTGAAAGCTTTTACCGTGACGAATCATGATAGTGAGTATTTGTTTCTCGCGCGAATTTACTTAGTCAAAGTGATTCGTAGACGGATGATCGACGTGTCAGTGAAGTGAAAATCGATATCCTACACTCCCTTAATTAAGATAATTATCGATCGGTCAGCTGTACGGGGCGCGTTCAACTAGGAGAAGTAAAACAAAGAAACAACAAAACAAAGGAGAAAAGCCAATTACATAAGATTAACTTTTTGCTTGGCTTTTTATCAATTTGTCTCGTTAGTCCCTAATACTTTTAAATGTATGCCTCGCCATTATTTGCAATGTAAAATCTATAAGCATGGAACACTTTGGAGAAGAGAAAGCTTATCAAATTCAGAGAATATTATTATTTTCAACCAAAAAAAAAAAAAAAAAAAAAAAAAAACACGTTTTACATGTATACAATAATTTAGATACGTAAATATAGGAGAATTTTTTCTTTTATTTTTCTTTTATATTCTAGTGTAAGTGAACGGTCTCTTGTTTATATTCGTACAAGTAACGTATTATAAGAAAGCACATTAGGCTTTTTGTTTCGCTTAAGTATGCAATTCTGGGTAAATGCAAATACAATTGAAAAATTCTTGTAATATTAATAAAGTTGTTTTTTTTTTTTTTTTGTTGATAATATGCCGCTCAGCTTTTTTCAATATATCTTTAGAGTTTTATAACTGAAAAAGATGCGATACAATGTTGCTGAAATGTTTTGTGTGATTTGAATTTTGAATTACCAACGTTAATTTTATACTTTTACGATTTTTTCGTAGTTTAGTGAAAATCAAATCTTATACTCTCATCAATGATATACACATTTGCTTAGGTCATTATTATTAAATACAGATTGAATTTTTTACATGATTTGACAAGATTTGATATCTGATTCAATTAGCTAATATTAGAATAATAAATGTAAATTAATAATAAATTAATGTTCGATAAATTTTGTAAAAAGCATAACTGTCTATATCTTTCTAAATATTATAAAGCATTTGTTACAATTGTTTATAATAAAAATTCGTTTGCATGGTACTTCAACGATAATAGAAAGAAATGATTTTTGTTTTTTTGGCTACTGTAAATTTAATATGTGTATATGTATGTTTTATGAACGTGATGTTTATGTTAATGTTTATAAAATCTTTCGAATGATGTAATATCGTGTTTATTTAAGTAATTCAGTTCCTTAGATTTTCAATTTCATAACATTACATGAATAATTTAATTGGTAGCATTGATTTTCTATCAATATGTAAAAACAATGCATATCTTGCTCTTTCTCTCTCTCTCTCTCTCTCTCTCTCTCTATCTCTCTATCTATCTATCTATCTGTATTATTGTTATAAATAAAAAAGAAACAAAAGAAAGAGAACAACCAATAAATAAAAAAAAGCACTTATAGATACTCGACGACGATAAACTTGGAGGAGTACTCCAATAAAAAGGATAAATGATGTTCGAGAGAGACTTGAAGTTTTAATTTCTTACATAAAATGTATATGGTTCCCGAGGAGAGAGAGAGAGAGAGAGAGAGAGAGAGAGAGAGAGAGAGACGATTACGGACGAGCATATAAAAAAATTGTCCAACATTCGTAATATACTGTGCCACGCCTCGTTAAAATAATAGAAAAACTTTTTTTATATAAAATCTTTATGTAAATTGCAAGATAGCAATGTGCTCGAGGACGCTTGACTAAACGAGCATGAAATATGTCATGGTAATGTAATTTGAGAAAAAAATGGAATTAAAAGTCTTAGGTTTTAAATTCGGAATTAAATTCGGTCAGTTGCTTGATAAAATGCGACTTGATTAGTGACGCAGCAACGGACGTTGTTTTCAATTGCATTAGAAAGTCCATCGTCCCGTCTATGCTGAGTCACTTTGGTGACTATTTTGGTATAAAGATGACGATTTGTGATGCGCGATGCGTGTCCCTCCTCGCCATCAATCGACAAATATTCCGTATTTTCGACCGCTTGGCAACACGTCACGACACTCGCCATTGCGAGTTCCACCAGAAAGTGCGTCCTCTTATCTCGTGGAACAAAAGCCAAGGACGGAGGACCAAGTGCCGAGAATCGTAGTCCTCGGATCGAAGGATCGAACGATCGATAGTGGCTCTTAACGATAACCGAGAACTCCTCATTTCGCAAGGGCAGTGCGTGCACTAGCTGTTGTCCTATCCCTTAAACCGCCAAGAGTAACCGATTAGTGCGATTCCTGGCGTAATGCGTCATCGAGAAGCGCGTACTTACGAATCGAGAATGGAATAAAATGGATTTTGTCGAATTCGCCCCCGATGGTTTTCGCCGTCCTTAATAACGAGCTCAATTGCGAGGGTTGCTGAAGGCCGTGCAATTAATGAATAAACGTCCCGCCGTTCTATTTTATTCTCCAGATCGACAATTTTACAATTAAATCCAACAGCCCAAGAAGAATTTGAACTTTTAATTGCGACCTTCTCGTCCGACATTCTTCCTGCCTGATTTAAGCAATTAATGCACACTCTCCTGCGTATTACCATTAGCTCTTACATTACGTTAGGAGCCGAGTTTTAAAGATATTTACTCGCCTCGGCCTCTCCCTCGGCTAAATCTACAAATAATAATTTTGACGTAACATTGTACTGTCCAGCAGCTAAAGCATTTTAAGCATCTTTATTTCAATCGCCTCTCGACATTTTACATTCCCTTCTCTTGCCACTCGTCAGAATTCTGAATCACTTCACGACAATAAATCTGCGATCATTTATATTCTCCTGGCATCCCCTCGTCCATTAAATGAGCCGTCAATATATTTACATAAATCCGCAACATCTTTGTCCACCTCGACGATTCTAAGTGCAGCCAATTTGAGACATCTCGTATATTATCTCTCGCGGCCCCTCGGCCCCTTCAAAAACGTTTATAAAACCTTAAATAACGGCCATTAGGCAAACAATTGGCAAAAGCCCGACTCAGCTTTAAAGCATACTTCGCTCTTAAGCAAATGTCGTTCGACTGGGAGAGCCTCTTTCTGGATAACGGGATAACGAGGGTCGCGCGGCGAGCTCTTTACACCTTTGATAAAAAGCGATTTTATCGATATCGCCAATCCACGATATCTACCATAGTATTTTTAATCGTTCTTGCAAACATATCTTGCATTTCAGATGCTTACAATCACCGATCGACGACAAACGAAAGCCATACGGCCGTATTTTGTTACATAAATGGCACTAGGCTCATGGCCCAGTCCCGCCGTAACAATTACCAAACTGCCCATTTTGGTCTCGAGCACATCAAGATTGAACTCTGCACTCATTTGGTCTATGGGGCAGCCGTTCTGGACACGGATACGTGGGGCATAAGGGCCATCGATCCCGACCTCGAGCACCGACAAAGTGGTAAATCTCGTCGCCATTGCACATTATAAAATCTGCGCCGCTGAATTATTCGAGCTAAATCCTAGAGATTTTTTTAATAGCTAGCGTAATCCGAGCTTTCGCGCATGCTTACGAGCGTAAATACAACTTTTACTTTAATCGTAAGATTTCCATTAGATCGATGGTTATTATAGCGATGTATATTAGTAATGGTTGGATAAGGGCTCGATAATAAAGGAACTAAACCATACATTATTATACCTAAAGTTTAACGTTCTCTCTCATCGCCATTACCATATATATAATTACAATATTTTACATTTGTATTGTTGCTTTAATAATATTTTTTGTGCCCACACGTACACGATTTTAGGTAATAAGATAACGTTCGAAGACATAACGGAATTAAAAAATCGAAAGAGAGATTTACAAGTGCTTATATCAGTAAGTGGTAATGCTATACATTTTTCCAACATGGCAAGATCTCATCGCGGGGATTTCGTACAACACGCTAGAAACTTCTTGAAGTAAGTTTATTATTATTATTATTATTTTTTTTTTTTTTTTTTTTTTTTTTTTTTTTTTTTTCCCCCAACTCGTTATAATGTTCATAAACTGGAACGTTCTGTACTTCAAGCCTTCCATTAACTTAATGCACGACTATTGTCTAACGTTTGAACAATAATCATACTTACTTTAAGCTAAGCTATTTATTCGTAAATTTATTGAATATTTTAATTTCATAACGTCCATTATGACAGCAAATACAAATTCGATGGATTAAATATTGATTGGCGATATCCAACTCGAAGCTCTGGTGATCCCGAGGATAAGCAAAACTATAGCCTATTAATAAAGGTACAGTGTATATATATATATATATATATATATAGAAAATCAATTGAAGTAATTATACAATAATTTATGAATGTTAACCTGATCACGAATATGATACTGCGTAAAGACAAATTTTCGTCCAATCTCTGCCGCTTATTAAAATTAATGATTTTATGCCAATGAGATGAAAGATTACAAAGAAGACGTGCCAAAGTTATATTATCATTACAAAAACTTTGCTTCGTTACAGGAGCTGAAAAACACGTTTAGAAATGACGCTAAGCTCCTCACCGTTACCGTTTCTCCAATGAAACAAACCATCATCAGAGGTTACGAGGACGTAGACAGTGACGTAATAGACTCCGTCGATTACTGGTTCATCATGGCATTGGAATATTATGGACATTGGTCATTTCAAATCGGAGCCAATGCCCCAATTCGAAGTCGCGAGCTGCACAATGTGGTAATATTAATCTGCCCATTCGATTTTGTTTGTTTGTTTGTTTGTTCGTTTGTTTGTGTGTGTTTGTTTGTTTGTGTGTGTTTGTTTGTCTGTGTGTGTTTGTTTGTCTGTGTGTGTGTGTGTGTGTGTGTGTGTATATATATATTTGTATTTGTATTTGTATTTGTATTTGACCAATACGAGAAAGTTGCGATCGACAAAATTAAAAGATTAAAAGGAAATTTCAAATTATCTATCGTCCGTTGCAGCACAAAACTATCGATGACTACAAGCAAATATTCCAACGTCACTCCTACAAACTCATCCTCGTTATTCCATTCTATGGAAAGAAATATCAGCTCGCCCAGCCCCTTCAGAATAATTACGAAAGCCCGATAAGCAAAGATTTGGTCAATAGCCATGCACCTGCCGAGAACGTTATCTTCACCTATCGCGAAGTAAGGCTTTCCTTAAAGCTCATCGATAAAGCTCACAATGCCATTACCACATTAATACGACAATAATCTTAATGATCAATGCATTACAATTGTTAAAATAGATTTGCCAAAAGATGAGCAACGAACATTGGCGACGTGGATGGGACTCGGAAACACAGACCCCGTACATTGTCAAGGATATAGGAGCAATTGTGTACGACGATGCGCAGTCTGTCCAGGCCAAGGTAATAATACCCAATCATCATAAAAATATCACAGCTTTCCAACTATAAAAAGTCTATCGTTACAAAGTTGCCAATCTTCTATAACGATAAATCTCGCTTCAGCTGCACTTTCCAGCGTTTTTTTATCTTTTTTTTTTTTTTTTTTTTTTTTTTTTTTTTTTTTTCGTACAATTTTATTTCCATTTCTAGACACGCGCGCGCGCACATCCCTATCAGCTCGGCTAATTCTCGGCTAACTTGTCCCTCCATAAACATTAAGACGAAAATTTATAACTTTGATATTCTAAACATTACGAAAACAATCTAAATCTAAACGACGACAACAATCTATCTGTATTTCTGACATTTTCGAGGAAAAGACATTTGATCATAGAGCCACAAAATTTCGTCGATATAGCTACAGCTGCATTTAACGTCTGCTTAAATAATTTTCCAAACAATCGAGAGATGGTTTTTGAAATTGAACTGTTGAGAAAACGATTGAAGAAACGAGGCGCGCTACTGTTTAAAATATCGGACGATCGATTAGGCGATAATTGAATTCAAAAATGTCTTTATGAAGAAGCGAGTGATGATGGTAAGACAACTAACTGCTCCCGAACTTTTTGCCGATTCAATTTGTGAATGTGATGGCCGATGTATGTGGTGCGCGTTTCCCTCTTGGTATAATTAATTATGAGGCGAAGCTGCGGCCGAATCCAGCAATATCCGCGACTCTCCTCGAGCCTCGGCGAACAATTTTCCTTTCCATTGCAGACGAGCTTGGCGCTCAGCTCCGGCCTCGGCGGCGTTATGGCCTTCAGCATCGACATGGACGACTTTATCGGGGACTGCTACGTCGAGGGCCGTCGCTACTCCACCGACAATTACAATTACAACTACAACACGAGGGAACGAAGCGCGCGAAAGTACCCGCTGCTGCAGTCGATATACGAGACCGTCGAACGGGGCCCCAACTCCGCGGCCTTCCACTCTAGTCCCCTCGCCCTCGTGCTCGTCATACTAGGCCTGTGGCTGCTCAGGACCTAGGCTATAAGCCCGAGCCAGTGAGGCCCTAACGGCGCTCCCGGGATCGCGGGACGTCAAGCCTCCGGTTACACTTCTTATTCCGTAAGAAGAACTCGCGAAAATAATATATTTGTTACGATTAAGGCGCCCCCGCAGTGCTCTCATTTACCACTTTCTTCTTCTCGCCTTTAATCTTCCTTCCTTTCTTTCCTTTCATTTCTTCTTCTTTTTTTTTTTTTTTTTTTTTCGTTCATTCCATTTTCTATTCCCTGAATTGCCGAGGTGGTGTCCTTGCATATAGGGACCTGATGCTTGTGGAAATGTATCGTCACGCTGCAACTCTCGTCGTTACTATTTAGATTAACTTTCACCGCAAAGCCCGAGTCTTCTTTTTTTTTGCCAGATGATGAATTTATAGGCTGCTTTCCGAAGAGTACAGTACAAACAATGTATAAATAATCATTAGAATCGATAATGAGCGACGATGAATTGTTGATTGGTGTGTGTGTGTAGGGTAGGGGGGGGGGCTGATGGAGGTTTTCTCCGTCGAAACGTTGATTCACTCGGATGGAATATAAAAAAATTGTAGAAACTTTATTGCGAAATTAATGGCTTGAAACAAGCAATTGATAATCCGCGTGCTAGTGTCGATCATTAACATTTACAATGTAAATTTCAAAGCATTTCTGAGCATTAGCTGTTGCATGAACTTTAAGAATGTTTAGCGTAAGTAAAGCTTACTTTGTACCAAACTTCTTTCTCCGTGTTCTACTGCAAAATTACTAATATAAATTGTTGTATAATCCCTCTGCGTGGACTCGAGACTAATTTTATAAGATTGTCATTCATTATCTTAGAATATAATTTTTACACTGTAGGTTGATTTCGTTGACTTTGCAAAAAAGCACGCGCGCGCGCACACACACACACACACATACACACACACGATTTACCCTATACCGCATTAATATTCGTAACCAAAAGAATTGAACAACAACTAATATAGGTAAGCTGTTGTATAGAGAAATTTTTCATTAATTTAACTATTCATTTAATATAAGAATTTTCACGCATTATTGTACGAAAGTAAAAGGTAAGAAAAGGATATTTAATATGTTTTTTCACTTGGGCATTATAAATGACAGTAAGAGAAAAATAATGTACAATGTGATGAAAATTTACAAACACCTCAAAATATACGTATATTTTTTATATTTTTATTTTGAAAGTACATAAATACCTTTTCAACGCTGAGAGATGAGAGGAGGGTAGAGAGAGAGAGAGAGAGAGAGAGAGAGAGAGAGAGAGAGAGAGAAAGACGCACGCCTAAACAATATTACTTATATCTTAAACTTTATAATTTACAATAAAGAAACCCCAAATAATAATTTAAATTATGTGATGATATATAGCATACTGAAAAAAAATAAAGTGGTATATATTTCAATAAATATGTTTGTATGACAACATCGTACAACACTGCGTATATTAAATATTGACTGCAAAATAAATAAACTTTATAAAATTATCGTTTCTGTTTTGAATATTTTACCTTCACAAATCAACTATCGACTGAAATTCAACCCGAAAATTAAAAATCCTTTATTTCACTTACCCATGGATTATTAAACAATATCATTCACATTTGATAGGAAAATATTATTCAATGATTATAACGAAAATATATGACATTACGCGAAAGATATATATTAGCCAAGAGTGTTGCCATCTCGATATTTTAAATTTCTATCTATCGTATTTATAAAAAAAAAAAAAAAAAAAAAAATCATATATTGATTTATAAATCTGAATGTGCCTGTAAGATGGGAACGTTTTTCAAAACGAAATTTTATCGATTCACAACGCTTTCATGAATTGACGACGCGTAAGTAAATAAAGAAACATATTAATTCCATGAAACGTATTTGGATCGAACTTACTCTAACATGCAATGTTAATAAAAAAGCAAATTAACTAAATTATTTAAAATACAAATTTCTCGCACATGTAAAACAAAGCGGCGCATCCTTATTGATAAGTAATTTGCATATACAATTATTCGTGATTTTACTTTCGATACGCCTAATATTTGCCTACAAATATACAAATACATTCATCATATACAATAAAAATACAACAAGATATATTGCACATCGTAATTACAGAAATCTGTCGATTTCGAAAAATAAAGAAATGAAAATTTCGTACGAAAATTACGTATGAAATGCGCAACAAAAATACATATTCAATTACACAAAATGTATAAAATACGATCAATTATTAATCAAATGATTATGATTATTTCCAAACTAACAATATATTATTTTTACAAAAGCATAAATCAATCGTTAAGAATGTCTAAGATAAATAATTGCAAACATTTGTCTCAAAGAGAGACAATATGACAATTAAATAATGAAAAGTAAAATTTAACTTACAAAGTTTTGTATTTTATATCGAATAAGAAATGATGACATGATAATATTGTATGTAGGCCATTACATTAATAAAATTACTCTCCAAAAGCATAGAGAATAATTTGAAATTTATAATATACTTGATATGAAGTAAAGAAAGAATGCGAGTTTATTTATGATTAATTTGTAAGGTGGGCGCGTCAATAAGCAACTACGCATTCGAATGTCAAAGAAGCGAAAATATTTTTGTAAATAACATCTTTTTTTTTTTTTTTTTTTTTTTTTTTTTTTTTTTTTTTTTTTTTTTTTTTTTTACTCAATATGTCAAGAGATAATATTAATAATACAAAATTTAATGATGCCATAATACTCGTGACATATTGTGCACATAGAGATTGACGTAGCTATATAAGTAGTAGAAGTAGTAATGATATTGGCAGATAATTAAATTACATGTTTGGCAGTATATTTGGCAATGATTTGATGAAAGGTGTAAGCCAATATGTAAAAAAGCTCCTCTCGCTTCCAAACGATAAACGAACCGCAAAACCGAATGTCCTCCCCGCCGCTTTTAAATCTCAGGCCAATAAAGAACGACCCGATCGATGATCCAATTGGCTCGTAAAGGACGAACGTCGCGACCTCTGCCCGCCGCCCATCCATCATGACACGATCGTGTGCTATCGACGTGATCCGTGGGGTAAGAGAAATAAGCCACAGCATGACATTGGAAGTCAGTGGTAGTGATGTCGTTCTTTAATCGAGCTGATTACTTTGATCTGCCTTACTGGCAAAATGGACCGGCACCCGGATCGCTTTATCATTTTCCAGATTTCACGACGAATTTCAATTCCGATGCTATACAAAGAACCCAGTAAGTCTTTTGTCTTTTGTTGCAATGCTGAGTTTGTGCATCGTAAGATGCGTCCAGCCAGCATCTCGTCGAGGAACGTTTAAGTGCTTATAATCAGCATAGGCAATTGTAGTGCGAATACTCGAGAATTTACGATGTAACGTCCGTTGTCGTTGTCGCTCGTACTTTTCTTCTTTTCATCCTCCGCCCCAAATTACTATCTCTACGACTTGAATAGTAGCTGAAGTAGTGCGAAACCTAACCTCGAACAAAGAAATGCATTCTTGGAAAGCTTTTCAGGATAAAAATATTTTTCATTTTTCAGATCGCCAATGGTTACGGGTACGTCTGTCGTGGGAATGCAATTCAAAGATGGTATAATCATTGCCGCCGATGTCTTGGCTTCTTACGGCTCGCTCGCTCGATTCCGAAATTGCGAGCGAGTTATTAAAGTTAATGACAACATTATTCTTGGAGCTGGCGGCGATTACGCTGATTATCAGTATCTGAGAAGCCTCATTGAACAAAAAATGTATGTCTTAGAGTTACATCATCGTAACGTAACGTTTTTTGCTTTTACATTCATCTACATCGTATCTATAAAAATTTTTCAGTCTAGACGAACAGTGTCTCGACGATGGATTCAAATTAAAGCCAAAGTCATTACATTGCTGGTTGACCAGAGTAATGTATAATAAAAGATCAAGTTTTGATCCTTTGTGGAATAATTTTATCATTGGAGGCATCGAAGATGATCAATTGTAAGTAATTATCACCTTAAACTTCCTTGTCTTTCCTTTATTCTATAACTATTTTTAACTTTTGTTTGTAAAATCTTAGATATTTAGGCACTGTTGACAAATTGGGAACAGCCTTCACAGATCCGGTAATTTCAACAGGATACGGCGCTTACTTGGCAACGCCCATTATAGCCAAAGCCTATGAGGCCAACAGTCAAATGACCGAGAAAGAAGCCACGGATCTCATTTATAAAGTTATGCAAGTCCTTTTCTACAGGGATGCAAGGTCCTTCCCAAAAGTAAGCAATTCACAGCATGACAATAATAATAGTTTGACTAGGTTATTTTAATAAAACTTCAAGTAAAACTTAAATGTCATATACTTATAGTACCACCTTGGAATAATCACAAAGGAAAAAGGAATTGAAATAAGAGGTCCGATTAGCATTGTTACCGATCAATGAATTGTAAAATAATGAAAAGTTATTGTAAGGTGACCGATTCAAGTTTACTTAAGATAACCACCAGGCTTCAAGGTGTTTTCATAAATGCAATTTAATTACCCTACTTGTAATAAATATGTCATTCTCTTTTCTCTTCTTTTCGTTTCTTTTATAAATTAAACAAGAAAACATTGATTTAGTTTAAAATTTACTTTATTCTAATCTAGTTAAAATTTCACAACCATAATCGGTAATCAATATTGTGTGTTCGACTTGTGCTGTTCTGGCGTAGTCTATTGTAACAGCTGTCCAATTATCCTCTAATATCCCTACTTCCTTCGATCCTTGAGTCAACACTGGTTCAATGGTAAATGTCATTCCTGGTCTCATTACTTTACTGTCGTTATTTCCTGAATATTAGAGTTCAGATTAAAAAATATGAGAACAAACAGAAGAAGGAAAGAGCTTTTCGCTAATGTTAAAACAGGTGCAACGATATTTCTAACCAAATGGGCAAAAGGAATATTTACTGAAATGATAAATATCTGGTGCTCCGTGAAAATACGAGCCAATGCCATGACCACAATAAGCAGGTATTACATTGTAACCAAGTTCGTTCGCTGTGTCCTCGATAATATTGCCTGGCAAAAAGCATCTACGTCATAGTATTACAGGCTATTATTGCATTAAAAATAATTGTGTATCGCAATAAATACCTATGCTGCAGAAACGCTCGTTTGGTTTACAAATTGCAATAGCCTTTTGTAAGCAAATGTCTGCTGCTTTAATTAATTGTTTGCCTTCGCTATCGACAGTTCCGACTTCGTACATTTCTGAGCAATCTCCATGATAGCCATTTAGGAATACCTAAAAGTTTGCAATTGTATCCAACCACTTTAAAATAAGGTAAAAAACAAATTGAAATAATTCAGTGTATGCCAATTAAAAGATACATTTTTAAACAATTATTTTTTAGTTATACGTGTAGATAATATTAAAAATATAAATGATCAAGCGTCATTATTACTGTCACATCAATATTTAAAATATCTCCATCTTTTAAAGGACGATCGTCGGGTATGCCGTGACAAGCTACATTATTAATACTTGTGCATATAGACTTTGGAAAATGTTGATAATTCAAGGCACTCGGATACAATCCATTGTTTACTATCATTTCGTGAACTATTTTATCCAATGAGTCGGTAGTAATGCCTGGCTATTTCGAAGCAAAGGATTTTCACATTAATACAACAATTTTATTTTGCCATTGCAAAGTATAATTAATTTACTTACTTTAACCTCGGATTTAATCTCCTTTAAAATTCGTTTTGCAAAAAGACAACTCTGCATCATGCATTCTATTTGATTTTTATTTTTTATCTCCGGTTCCAATGGTCCTGGCTGCGGTACACCTGTTTCAGCATAAGAGGGTTTTGGAATATAAGAAGGAACTGTTCTCCTTTCCGACACATTTCCAGGCTCGACAATGTCATATGTTCCAAATAACGGCTTGGGCGTAATAACTACACTCTTATAAATTCAAAACAAATTACAAATATTTATTATAAACACTCTACAAAAACTCTAATTACGTACATACTTATAAGGTATAAAATTTATTATGCAACAATAATAATAACAATTTTACCTTCAATTTATTACAAATACTTTTGAATAATGTACTGCTTGGCCTAATTAAAAATACCATGACTCAATTAATCACAAAAAATAAATATAATTTAAATGCGATACTACTTTAATCTTAACAACTATTCATATTGTCATTATTATTATTACTATTATTGTTATTTATTTTTTAGGCTAACTTTTTCTCAATTATCGTCACCACCATAGAGATACAAAATAGTCGAGCTTACGACTCATAAATGACGAAAGTCTAATCCACGAAACATGTAAGGCTATTCATATTGATTACAGTAGGAGTAGAACAGAAATCATTTTCAAATAAAATTCTTTATGCAAGGAATGGAAGAAATGCTTCCTCCACCGGCAACTAATAATCCTTGCTGCCTAAATTCCTAAATGAACAAATACTAGATTTACTTTTCGCTTAGTCACAAATTCGTAATTGGAATTGTGAACAATCACATTCCCCTAGCTTAGTCAAAGCACGTTATGCGCATGCGCAAAATCTCGAACGACCATTTCTTTCGGAATGATTGTTTCTTTCCTTTTCCGTTCTTCGACTCATTAAGGTTCGTCGTTACACTTTTATATTGTCGCCAAATCCCTTTTGTTTATTGTAATCCGCGAGTCGCTGACAAAAATACTCCGACAATAATAATTCTTAAGAATAAAGGATATCGTTAGTAACGATATCGACATCCAATTATCCGTAACGAACCAATTTCTTTTCCAGCTGAAAGATGGTGCAGCGACTAACCTACAGGCGAAGGCTCTCCTATAATACAAAAAGTAATAGGAGACGAGTGTGAGTATTCGTTGCAGAGAGCAACGATGATTTCTTCGACATTCAATGCCTCATCTGACTAAAATTTCATTTTCACTTCTGCAATGTCTTTTGGCAATAATGTTTACGCGAAGCCCTTTTGTAATTGAGAGGTTATGTTTTGATCAAGTGCACAGTATACTAGCCACATGTGCGTGAAATTAAAGACTTTTATTCAGTAGAATGCGAAAAGTGTGCATACGAAGACGTTTATTTTTAAATTTACATTACAATTATCGAGGTGTCACGTAGTCTACGTTGTTAGTTGCCTCATCAAAGGTGCCACTCGTTTTGTCATGTCTAAAATTCAATCAGACTTTAAATTTCATAGTTTTTTTTTTTTATAAATAATTTCTGTTATAAGATTTCCCAAGCTTACCTTATTCATCAAACAAGTTATATTTTTTTCATTGAAATTCTAAATCATTTGTTTTAGACATTATGGTCATTGTGTATGGATTTGGAATAGAACATACTCAAAGCTAGCTATGTCGTAAAATTTAATAAAATTGAATATATCGAGTCATTGTGGTAAATCAATAATAAAATACCAACGATCTAAATTTTTTCTCCCATGCTTATAATATTTTACTTTTTATTATACTTTTAATATTACAAGAATAACTTATTGACGTAACTTACAGAGTTCGTACTCCTGGAGGTAAACTTGTTTATCAGTATCTTAAAAAACCCAAGAAGATTCCCAGATGTGGTCAGTGCAAGGATAAGCTTAGAGGTATCCAACCTGCTAGGCCGATGGAACGTTCTCGCATGTGCCGCAGGAAAAAGACTGTTAAGCGAGTCTATGGTGGAGTGATGTGTCATAAGTGCGTTAAAGAAAGGTACGTAAGCATTATCTATTAAGCGTTTAAATTATGCATCTAATTTATACTAGCTAATCGCATTTGTTTTCTGTTTGTTTCCTCTTTTTCTTTTACTTTCAACATATTAAAAAATGTAATAGCTAAAATTATTTCTGCATATATTAATAATCAAATATTTAACGTTAACACAAGATGTAATGAATTATAAATGAATATGTATAACTAGAATATCTATTTTGTTTTTTTGTTTTTTTTTTTGTTTTTTTTTATACTAATGAACAAAATTTATTCTTTCAGGATCGTTCGAGCATTCTTAATTGAAGAACAGAAGATTGTAATAAAGGTAATGAGAGCTCAGCAGTCTTCTGCCAAAACGAAAAAAACGGAAAAGTAATTTACAAATATCTTACGTGTAAAACTTAAAAATAAAAAAAAGTAAAAATCATTTTATAGTTACTTTTTTTTACTGAGATTTCAGTATAACATTTGTAATATTCATGTCTACAAATAAAATTATAAACATCCAATTTACGTAATAAAAAAAAGAGTAATTTATACATTTTCAAGATTTATGGAATAATATTCTGTTATTTATAATGTTCTTTTGCCGAAGCTATTAAAACTAATATTAATAGAGTTTTGTAATCTTCTTGATTTTATTGTGTACATTTATTTTACATAAAAGAAAATTATCCTATACTTTTATATAAGATTTTTAGGGAGATTCAAAGAAAAAAAATTTATTTTTATATCACATTTATTATAAAATCTATTTTACTAGAGAATATTTCTTTTGTAATATAATTTTATTTACTTTTTCGAATTCCTGTAATACTAACTAAATATAAAACTTTAAACGTATAGAAAAATTTACTTTTATCATTACTTGTCACATCGATACATTTTTATACAGACTTACTTTTTTACACAAGTATTTTTAATTATAAATAAAAAGATTGAAAATTTGTATTTGACATTGTAAGCAACTGGATATAAAACATGAAAACGTGATATTAACAATGAAGTTCAATTTTCTTTAAATACATCATTTTTATCATTGATTCTAGCAATTAGAAATATATATATTTTTGTTTTTATGAAAAACCTTTTAAATAATTATGATATTGTTGACATACGTAAACAATACATTCTCATAGATATACAAACTCAAGCAAATATTACAATATTTTTCTAAGTAGTAATTTTCTTGAAACTATTAAAAAAGCTTTTATAATAGTCAAGTATTATATATGTATATATTGCATTTTCGCACATATAACGCACATTATCCAATACTTGTATGATAGTAGGATTAAAATATCATTGAAAATACTTAGAAATGTATCGATTGAGTAACTGAGAATAATTTGTATGAAATTTTAATAAATTTATTTAAAGGGTCATTGAAGTAATTTATTGGCTGTATTCGTAAAAATAAATAAAACTTATTTCGTTGTTTAAATTGCTCTTGTACTTAAAACTTAAATTTATTTCTGTTTTGATAGAAATTCTGCATTGCACATAGTAATGTAAAAAAAATAATCATATTTCGAAATTTTATATACGTAATGTATAACGGAGATATACACATATTTCAATAATAAAGCGATTAAAAAAAATTCAGGTGTAAAATTTTGATTGGAATATGTAATACTCATCCTTACTTTTTAAATAAACTAAAATATATTAATTTCTTACCCCGTAATATCAACAGACTTAAATGATGAAATATTTGCCCATGCCCCCCCCCCCTCCACCTTCAGCTAGATTTTTAAAATCTTAAATAACACAGTTTGAGAAATAAGTAATTACATTGTAAATTCAGCTAATATGGCCTTTTTAATTACTAGTACATTTGAAATATACCATGCGATATTTGCGTGTAAAGATTTTATGAAAAAATTCTTTAAATATTGAAGAAAAGTATAGATCAAAATGTATATATTAAATCCGTACTTGTATTTCACAGTTACAAATATTTTTATGATTTGTATAGGGTTTAATGTTGTTTTTTGAAAGGTGAAGGGCTAAAACTGCATGATTTACCGCAGTTCTCGGTTATGCATTTAAAAGGTCGTTCAATTGCACTGCAATAAACATTGAAGTAAATGTACTTTATACTTTATACAAATGCGTATTGTAATGTGTTAGATCAACGTGTAGGATTTAAAAAATTGTAAAGCCCATTCCGTGAAAATATATTTGCAATTTCATTTCTTTCATCAAATTTTGTTTGAAATAACATACAATTATAATGATATAACTTTATCAAATTTAGAAACGTGTGTTAAAAAATTTTTTTTTAATTTTATGCTTAATAAGTCAACAACGTGTATATACTGTTACAATAATTTATCTTTTAATTTATTCCTGTTTTATTGCTCAACAACATGAATAAAATTTCGTTTCACTTTTTTTTTTTTTTTTTTTTTTTTTTTTATTATAAAATTTCATTATTCATATATTCAGCTCTCAATAAAGTATAAATGTAAGAAAAACACATTATCTAATTAAACTGCTGTCAGTTTCGTGTTTTCTGGCTTTTTCGCAATAGTGGCTTTACTCCGAATGATAAATGTGTACGCCTTCTTTTTAAACTCAAAACTCACCACCACAACTCAATAAAATTAAATAATATTTACATACAAAGTGGAGTATTTTTTTATTTTTTTATAAATTTTTTATATTCGAACTTCCATTATCTTGATACGTGTACTTTATACGATAATTATAGGTTATTCTGAGCCTATGTATAGTGTTGATATTATTGCTATTGTCAAGGAATTTATTTGAATAAAGTAGAAATAAATGGCTAATTATTGTAGAAAACTATAAATGTAAATTATGATTTTATTGATAATTAAAGACTCGTGATAATTTATAAAGCAAACTATGACGTATAAGCAGCATACTATAAGTACCAAAAAAATAAAAAAAAAACAAAAAAAAAACAAAAAAAAAACAAAACAAAACCAATACTTAGGTGGTATTTAAATAAGAAAGTGTATTTATCGATAAGATAAGGATTTATCGAGTGAATCTTTATACAATCATATTTTATCCATATGGTTATGAAATTGTTTGCATTCTTACCTGCTTTTATGTACATGCCTATACGCATATTTATATTACGAATTATAAAGTGTATATGACAAGAGTCGATGATTTATAATTAAGATTTAAAAAGAAGTATTCGGGTAATTATTCTCGCCAATTGTGAAGTCGTTTGTAAAGATATAAAGATATCAAGTAAAATAAATGTTTTTTTCTCTCTTTTTTTTCTTCTTTACTTAATATATAAAGATTGTACTTACCTTTAAATACATCGCCATTACGTGTGGGCTGAGAAAATTAATTAAATTTTATAATAATAGTAACATGAATAATTATTGTTTTTAAAAAATTTAAATAATACATGTATAATTGTTCTTTTTTGTTTTAAAGCGCTTTGTACATATATATTTAATGCAATGAATAAACTTTGTGCATAAAAAGAATATATTTTTAATTTGAATTTCGTAATAAAAAACTTAACAAATATATAATTACTAAAAAAAAAAAGAATTTTTCAAATTTATTATCTTTATTATATAAAATTGCTAGGGTATCAAATTTTATTTTTGACAATTTTATTAATAAAATGTCCTACAATCATAGAAGAATATAATAAAATTATTCAAGTATTGTAAATTGTAATTAAGACGAATTTTTAAACAATAAAAAAACTAAATGGATATGATTAATAAATTATGTGTGAAATTTTAAATATTTTAAAATTTTTAAATTTTTATTTTTAAATATTTTTAAATTCTATAAATCACTTGAGAAATGCAAAGTATGCGACCAATTGGTAAATTTAAGAGAAATGAAGAGAAAAAAAATTATAATAATAATAATTTAATGAATGTATAAATTATAAGTAAAGGATTTATATTGTTAAAAATTATAAAGCAAATAATTTTTATGAGATGCATTACATCAGCATTTTATACACAAGACAAATTTTTAATGCTATTTCGATTATATAATAATGCATATTTTTTTAAAGATATCTTGCCGCTATTACAAGAAAGTAATAAGAAAAAGTAGCAGGGATAAAGTAGTGTTTAAGAATTTCTTTAAAGATTTCTTTAATGTTGAAATACGTTAAATATTTATCTATTAATTGTGTAGGAATGAAAAATCATACAATTTCTCATGTACGTCTTATTTATAAATTTGTATTTAAAAGTCAACTATCAATTGAAAAATATTGAGAAAAAAAATAAATAATAAATAATTTAATACATAATTATTGCATTGATATGAAATAGGAGAAATTAAAACAGGATAATAATGGAGTAATATAAATTGATTAAAAATTTTCGATAAAAAAAATTGAAATAATAATGAAATTAAATAGCTTAGTAAAAGCAGCGAAATTAAAATAAAATTTTAACGTCGATATCGAAGGAAAGAAATTACCATTTGGAATTACTAAATTTAACTTTATTTTAATGTAAATGAATGGAAAGAAGGATCAAAGATTGTTAATAAAAAAAAAAAAAAAAAAAAAAAAAAAAAAAAAATAAAAAATCAATAAGATAATATTATTTTCATTGCATATAGAATTTTGTGTATTACTTCTATATATATTGTAAACGTCATGTTTATGGAAACAAAATTAACAGAGCGAATGATAAGTTTTTGAAAGTTAATTTATTTGAAATATATTCGTTAGAAAATATACAGCACTCATTATGTGCATAATAATATGCATTTTTCTTAATTAGAAATATTTTTTACATAGAATGAAAATGAAATTTATTAAATGTCCGGTGTTCATTGGGATAAAAAAAAAAAAAAAAAACACTTGCTTGAAAGTGTATTTATTATAATAAAATGTGAATGCTTCTTTATTTCAAAGAATATCAATTTCCTTTGTCTATATTTGGCGTACATATGGTAAGTCTCCCCTGGTCGTAAGCCCCTAATGGTATCGCATATACTTGTCTACCGGAAGTTGCTTAAAGGCAACTGATAAAATCATAGAAGAGGAATAAAGTCATTTTTCTTCGGCAAACTGCTCTGTAATGACACGTTGTCTTTCATTAAACTTTACACTCCGACTCTATTGATCATATAGATAGAACGGCTGTATGGAGTATTTGTTCTCCTATACAAATAGACATTACAATGTTAATCTTGTTCATAACACAGAGAAAACGATCGACGAGACAAAGATAGTTCCAGAGTAACAATCTCTCCCCCCTACCCTCCCCCCAGCTCCGCTCGTTCGCCTTTTTATTTTTCTTCTCATGCTCTTAAAAAGTATAGGAATAGTATCGTTTTTCGTATGGTATCGTATAAATTATAAAAGTACGATCGAGAGAAATATGAGCATATGACAAGAATTATTATATTTAATAATGAAAGCGTCACGTAAAAACAAACTAG